CAGTATTGTTCAAGGAATAATAGTGTCAGCCCTTCCTCCTGAAGGCTTAAGCGAGTTAGCTGAAACAGCTGGACTCCTTCCAGACCTTTTGAATCCTTTTCTCACCTTTACCCATTAGAGATTAAGTGCTATAGGTATGTTAATTAGCATTGAGAAACCGCAAGTCGCTGCCTTAGGATTTGAACCTAAAAATAATTTATAACAATTTGCTTGAATTTTGGAAAATTAAGAATGTTAGATTATTAAGACAATTTGCGATGTGTATTTTAGAATTTGTTCCTGTAAATCATTGTGTCCTGTTTTGAATAATTAATCACATTTCATTTCTGTACCCTGTCTTAATGATCACCTTCTTCCTTTGTGTAAAATCCCTCCCTGAAATAAAAGGTGAATGCAGATGGAACCCTGCATGCATTACTGCCTGCAGGGGCTATGATGCCTGCAATCCAGGGTCTGCCCGCCAGTCTTGCATCCACTCTGGTTTCGGGGTGTCTCTTTGTCTCTCTCGTTGCGTCTGTGTGTATATTCATTCTTTATCTCTTTCACCGCCAGATCTCCCTACTTCGTGAACCAAACTTCCCTGTCGAGGCCAGTCCCCAACAGCTCTGACTCTTAGTGGCACTGTATAGGGTTTCCGAGGAGCGGCTAATGGGTTTGATCCAGCGACCTTGTGGTTAGCAGTTCAGTACTTATCCTACAACTCCACACCAGGAGTCTAATATATATATGAGGTATTCATTAATTTCAACTGAATTACAATTGCACAAATCATGTAGAAGTGGGTGCATGTATGTGAAATTATTACAAGGGTGAATGTTTATGGCCTAATAGTATTTTATGCACAAATGTGTCACTGCGTAGTTGCTGTCATTTCCAAATAATGTCATTGAAACCATTTCTTGGGGTAAAAGCTAAACTAAAGTGTCCCTGCTTCCTGTTCATTTCCTGGGAATTGCCAAGGCTGGCTGAACCAGTGGGGATTGTACTCCACTAAGTGTGTATACAGGCAGGAGTGGGGAGGTAGGGAGTGGAACCTGAACAGGACCACCTGCAGGGAACTGCCATGGACACGGTGGTCACTCAGGTCACACGTACCAAGTTAATGTGGTGACTTCGTCAGCTCTCAGAGTAGAAGAGACTTGTTTTGGTCATTTCTCAGGAAGGTCAGGTATTACAGCTCTTCCAGAGAAGAGAGGAAGGGGTGGGCTGTGGAGAGCAGCCGACCCTTCATAGTGGCATTGCATGCCAGAACCTGGCCACTTCCTGGCCAAGTTCAGATCTTATGTCCTTCTCAAAAGTTATCTTCTGACCTGACCTGGGTTCCCTTGCTGTATCATATAAGGAAGCCATTGTATTTTCCAGGCAAATATTACGTGTTTTTTTCCTTCACTAAAAAGAGCAGGAAGGCAAAACATTCCATATAAACGGGGTCCTGTATTCTGTTTCTCACTGCTGAACAGGATGCCCTCTCCCATCTATATGGAAACCCTGGCAAGGGCTCAGGCTGCTATAAATAAGTCTCCTGATTACTCCAGGAAGGCTAGGCAGCTTCCTCATTTTTTTTTTTTTAAAGTGGAATTTGTAACAGCTCCTGCCCAGAATATTTGTGTCCAAGGTCCTTTCATCTCCCAGGCATCCTGAACAACTGCCATACGGAGGTTTTGGATTTCTTCCCACTGCAGCTGGGACAGGCCATACTGGGCTAGCCTGCTGAAATAAAGAAGTGATTATCTCTCCTCTGAACTTTGTCTTGTACTTAGATATGAGTTTTAATAGGATCCGTTCTATGGAACAAGCAGGAAGTGTCTTTCTGCTCCTGCCAAAAGGCACATGTGTTAGAAATGGAGTGGACTCTTTAGTAATAATCTACTCCATTTCTAACAGAAGCCCCAGGGCACAGGGTTTGTGTAGGCACCTGGAATACATCTTTTACACCACTTAATTATCAGAGTCTTCACTTCCCTCAGATCATTTGGCAACACAAGGTCATAGCAAGAATTCTAGATAGTCAAACATACTATAAAGCTATATAGCAAATAAGGCTGTGACGCTGGCACAAGAATCAAGACAGGAAACCAACACAATAGAACGAACAGTGCAACTCCGTGGTCCACAGACCAGTGGTTGCTCTGTGAACTGTCTTTTATAGTCTACTACAAAATACGGACCTTGTGCCGAGCATCAATCAAATATATCACGAAGCATACTGTGAAGTTCAGCTGACTTTTTTTTTTTTTTTGACAAGACATTGTAAACAAAGGGAATAGTGTGTTGATTGACATTCTTGCGTAAATTCTTTCTCTCATCTCAGATACTTTGAGTAACTTTGAAATTCACTCTCTTGAAAGAATCCCCCTGGGTCCTGGTATGGTGCTGTGGGTTAATGCGCTGGATTGCTAATTTGGTTTAAATCACAAGATCATTGGTTCAAGCTCACCAGCCACTCCTTAGAAACCCTATACAGGGTCACAGTGGGTTGGAACCAACTCGAGGGCACTTACTTAAAACAACGTAATATATTTTAAAAGAAAAATATCATAAGTCAATAGGGGAAGGATGGTTTATTTGACAAGTTGAATTAGGAAAGTTTACCTTATACTTATTTTTTTTTATAACACACAAAATAAGTTATATAGACAGACATAAAATTAAATGAAAACTTGAAACCCAAGCAAAATCTTGAACTGGTCTCAGAGTATAGAAAATTTTTATTTTTACGTATCTTTTGAGATTACAAAAATATTCATTTCCTTGTAGAAAATCAATAAAATATTTTAAAGCGAAAAACCACCCATAAGCCTACTTCCCAAAGATAATATTTATCACTGTTACTATTCCAGTCTTTTTCCATTCAGATAAAATTTAAATAAAACTAGGGTTATACATAATAATTTTGTGTCATCCTTGTCTGTGAAATTAAATAATATTTTAAACTATGGGGGAAACAGAATATAAACTGCATTTATAACATGATCTTGGCAGTGATGGTATGATATAGGTTTTCTTTTTTTTGGTTGAGGGGTTGTTTTATACATACAAATATTCATTAAGTATATTAAATTTCTCATTTAGTATAAAAAAATCTTTAATTGTTATCTGGATAAACATAATTTTCTTTATAGTTTAGCCTTTTCTAGATTTTCTGCAAGGAGCATGCTTTACTTTTGCCATCAGGGCAAATAAAACAAGTGAAGTCCTCATTCACAGTCGTGTTCTTTGACTGGTGTTGGTGGGATTCAGCCTCAGACTACACCCTGAGCCATAGGCACATCCCTCAAATGCACTGACTTGGTCTCCAGTGCTAATTACAGTGGGAGTTGTAGAAAGGCCAGCCTACCTACTGGTCACCACCCTTGGCAAAGCCTTTCACTTGCCCACCCCTGACCAGAGCCAGTTTCTGGGATGATGAGAAAGTAGAGTGGTCCAGTATGGACAGTTTTAGGAGAAGGAAGTACACCACACAGCAGCTTCAGGATTCCCAGAGGCCCGGCCATCCTGTATGGACAAATCCTTTTCCCAATTTGCTTTTTTGGACCACTGCCATGGTTTGCACAACTGTGTCTGCAGCCCAACTTTGTCTTTTCTGTTGGTGAAGCAGAAGATCATGAGTCACGAGCAGCTCTAAAGCCAATGATTGACCACTTTTCTTCCTTAGGAAATTACATGGTTGCCACCTGTTGGAAACAGCATGTGACATGCAAAGAGCATCGTGTTTGCTCCTCTGTCCCTGATGACGGGCAGTGAGCAAGACAGAGGGGGATCCCATACTAACCAACCCAGCACTGACATCTCCTACTCTGTAGATTTGGGTAGAAGATAAGGCCCTTTGCAGCTTCTTCCTGGTTTCCATGGTGTTTTATTGTGCTCCCCTGGCCCATTCCCTGACTCCCTGAAGGTTTGCAGCAGGCCACACAGATGAGCCTCTGTCTTCTCTTTTCCTCCTCCTTAATTTGTCTGGTCTACGAAATGTCTCCATTTGTAGCATTTCTGATCTCTTCTCCATTTTTCTGATGTATTTCCTGTACGTTTGGAGGCATCTCTTGTACTCTTGGAAATCCCTGAGAGGTACAAATTATTAGTGCTGACAGAAAGATCGGATATTCAAGCCTACACAGAGGGGCTTTAAAAGACAGGCCTGGGTTCTGCTACCATAAAACCAACCGTTGAAAACCCTACAGAGCATGGCAACCGGTAAAGTTGCGCTCCTGATATTAGCAGAGGATTTTAAATCAGAGCCTTCCCTGGTAGCAAGCCACTGACTACAAACAGGAAGCATTGACCCCACAGCTGCACTTAACAGCCTTGACCCCATGCAACCTTGTGAGCACTTAGGAGGATCCTGGGCACAGCCACTTCTACTTTGGGGTTGCAGCTGGAAGCACTCCCCAAAACAAAACTGGAGATGGTTTCATTCCTCACTCCTTCTTCATCCTTGGCCCACCCTGTGCTGGGGAAAGCCTTTTTGCGGTTCGGTCATAGGCAGGAACAGCTCCCAAGGAGACGTTTAATGACAACTAAGGTTCCTCTGAGAAGGTTGAGAGAGGGAGTCCCTCTGCTCACTGCTTTCCATCTCCTGTGATTGTGAGGAGAGCAGTGTATTTCCAGAGCACAAGTGTTTGTGAGTAAGGAAGGAGGCTAATGCGGAGCATTACTGTGGGCTCAGTCCTCAGGTAGCACGAAGGCACTTCAACAACAGAACTGCAGAAATGGGACCATAAAACCAGCAGACTTGCTGTCCAGAATCTACTCTAAAGGACCATGTTCATCCATCCATTGTTTTTTGCCACTTGCAAAAAAAAGAAATTGCATTTAAACCTAGGATTCTATTTGGGAGCCTGACCACAGTGAGTGAGAGGTACCCAGTAGGCTGTGAAAAGCCTCAGTGGGGCCTTCCAAAGCCTCCTTGGACAGTCTCAAGCCAGGCTGTGTTGGGTAAAGGTTTATCTTGTTAAATGCACCTCCTGTGCTCAGTGTGACCCTCCTGTGCCTTGGCATTGCAGGCCTGGCACTGGTGCCAAAGAAGCTGTGTACCCACTATGCCTGGGATGCCACTGTGCTGCTTCAGGCGTGGCCGACCGTGGACCCGAAGTTCCTCGAGCAACCTGATGTTGTAGAGATGGCCGTGCTGGTAAGTGTCTCCCTCAGCCCCCATAGCCAGGCATGGAGTCTGCACCCTCATAGGTTTGAACAGTAGTTTCTGGTCAGGCCTTTCTAGCCCACCCAGCCCTCAGCTGGCCCTTCCTAGGTCTGATCTGGCCAGGAACGCAGGCACCGAGGTCTGACGTTCCTTTGCTGGGGCTTTCAGTTTGTCAGTCATCTCACACCAGACGCCTGTGACTGTGAAGAAGCACTCATGGAATGGAGAGCGTCAAAAAGCAACCAAACCTTTCCTGGTTTGCATCTGAGGACTGTTTCAGGTCTGGATGTGTCGTTTAGTTGCTCTTATTTTGAGGGGGTCAGAAAAGTGACAACAGTGAGGTGGTTGGCAATACAGAAATACTTCCCTGTAAGATATATTAAGAAGAGTCAACAAATTTTGGTTTGGGGCAATTTGGTTCACTTTGAATACATAAGAGTATTTTATTGTTTAACGCTTTCATAGAGTAAATAACTCCCTTACAGTTTCTCTTGTGTATAATTTTTATATATTTGATTTATGTACAATGAGACTCATTGGTAAGGGATATCTTTTAAATCTGCTGGCCTGGCAAGAGGGGGCTGGCCTTTTTGCATAGCTCCTCTGAGCCACTCAACATTTGACTGAACGCCTGTTACCCTCTGAAGTAAGCATTGCCAGTCTCCTTTTTTATCAGATGAAGAAACAGCTCCACTAAGTTAATTCCCTTGCCCTGGTTTTTTCGTTTATTCAGTAGTAATACTGAGTACCTACTTTATGCCAGGAGGCCTGGTATGGTGGTGCGGGATAATGCACTGGACCACAAGGTCAGTTTGATCTGTAAGGTTAGCAGTTGAAGCTCACCACTCACTCCTCAGAAACCCTATACACAATCGTCGCTGAGTCGGAACCGACTCGATGGCATTTAACAACAGCAACTCTGCCAGGCACTATGCTAGTTTCTGGGGATACAAAATCAAACAAGGCAGGCAGGTTACTGCTTCATGGAGTTGAAAGCCTGGAGGGAAACATAGGGCAAAAGAAAAAGGAAAGAAAACCATAAATGAAAATATTGCAAATTGTGAAAGTACCATGAGAAAATCAACCTTGGCTATACCCAAAAAGCCTTGGAAGCAGGAAGTGAGACCGGGTAAAGCACTGTTGACAGTAGTTGAGAGGAGGTGCACATGGAAGGACAACACTGTCTGATCCCACTTACATGGACTGTCTGCAATAGGTCAGTGTCAACGCCTAGAGACAGGGACTGTGCGGAGGGGATCTTACTCCTTAGTGAGTAACGGGGTATCTCTGTGATGGTGAGAAGGTTTGGGAAACAAATAGTGATATGGATATAAGTTTGGGTATAATTAATGCCATTGAATTATGCACTTCAAAATTATTAAAAAGGCAAATGTTTGGTTATATACAAATATATTTCACAGCAGTAAAACATTTTAAAGTGAAAAATAACCACCTAGGAGCTGAAGGAGCACAGAGGGCCTGAGCCGGACCAGGTGTCAGGCAGGAAAGCCGGAAGTTCTGGGCAGCTCTGGGCAGTGAGGAGTCAGGGCCTGAGATAGGAAGCAAGCCCAGTGGGGCAGGTTTGAGCTGAGGCCTGGGGCCAGGATGAGGCATTTCTCTCTTATTGGGTGATTTCCAATTGAATGAGGTTTGACCTCTGCTCTGAATTCTCCCCTGTTAATTACCTGGGGCTGCTGTAAGAAATTCCTGGAACATAAAACACTTGAACTGTATTGTCTCCCAGCAGTCTGATATGAAAGGCTCTAAGGCAGAGGTTATTGTTTGCCTCTTTGCCCCTCCGTTTTTAATAGCTTTCAGCATTCTTTGGCTTGTGACTGCATCACATGTGTATCTCTCTCTCATCTCCCATTGCCATCTCTTCTCTCTCTAATACAAACACTTGTCACTGGATTTAGGACCCTTCTGGATAAGCCTGATAACCTCCTCATCTCAAAATACATAAATTACATCTGCAAAGACCCTTTTTTCCAAATGAGGTTGCATTCACAGGCCCCAGGGATTAGAATGTAGACAGATTTGGTGACGGATTTGGGGGGTGGGGTCATCATTTAAGCCTCTAGACCTCCTGACACTAAAAGAGACCTTAGAAGGCTGTTGCCATTCTGCTGACTTGGAAGCCATCTGAGTTTATTTGCAGTCCAGCAACCCACAGAGTGCAGCTGCCCAGAGGCCAGGCCACCAGGCCCAGCCCTTCAGCATGAGTGTGCACCCTGGCCCCAGCAGGAAGAGGCTCCTCCACCTTGCTACTTCCACACCCCCTCCCAGCCAATCTCCCCTGGTACTTTTTCCCTGCTGCCAGCTGGTGCCCCCTAGGAGAGGCCTGGAGATGCTGGGGCTGCCTCTGAAAGAGGAGGCCATCTTCTTCCAAAATTTCTCAAAACTGAAAACATCCTCCTGGCACTGAGCAGTTTCCTTGACTTGAATAGTACTTATAAGAAAAATGAATACCCCCATGAACTTACTGAGAACTGCAGAGCGAGAGACTGAAGTTTAGTCTAGGACTATTACCTCTCCATTTGACAGTATAGTTGTAAAAAAGAAATTAGTTGTAATAGCTGGTCAGAGATTTTTAGATTATAATAGAAATGAAAACCCCAAATTAAAACCGTGTGTAGGATTCTCTACAAAGTACTCACCGCAAGTTAAGAAACTTTGGTTTGGGGCATCATGCCAATGGCAGAACTTCTGTCAACGTTTGTGTTCTGACTGTGTGATCCCAGAAGTTGCCGTGGCCAGAAATAGAAGCTGTAAGCACAGCTCAGTCTAATTCAGTTCAGCCCACGTGTTTTCTGGGCCATGATATGCTGGCATGCCAGGTACAGGGGACACAGAGACCTGAAGGACCACCCATCTGTCCTAGCTCCTAAACAGGAAGGCCTGGGGGGCATCTTAGGGACTTAACAAGGTTAAGATGGAAGCCAGTGGAAGTCAGGTCACCCTGCATGTGGATCTTGGTTTTCGCAAAATTTCTCTGAGTGTCAGTTTCCTCAGTTCTGACAAGGAGGCAAACGTGACACCTGTCTCACCCCATTGTGATGCCATGAAATACTCAGCTTGCTTCTGGGCACACTAATCACAGCTGCTGCTCACACCCAAGGAGCCCTGGTGGCACAGTGGTTAAGCCCTCGGCTGCTACCCAAAAATCATTGGTCCCAACCCACTGGCCGCTCCATGGGAGACAGATGAGGCAGCCCGCTTCCATCAAGATGGCCGCCTTGGAAGCCCCATGGGGCAGTTCTACTCTGCCCTTCAGGGTCACTGTGGCTTAGAATTGACTGCACGGCAACAAGTTCTGGGTTAGCACAGGACAAGCACCACTAGGGGCCAGGCACTGCTCTAAAAAGTCTACAGATACTAGCTCCTGGCAGCCCCGTGAAGGGCCCCTGTAGCAGAAGGGGCTGAATAACTTGCCAGAGGTCACGCTGCTCATCTAGAATTTGCTCAGTAAATGGTAACTTCTAGCATCAGCATCACCCCTCTGGCAGCTCGGAGGCTAGATGGAAAAGCCTGCCTGTAGAAAGGGCCCAGGGACTTGGCTTTGAAAAAGGAGCAGCATTTGCCCAGTGAAGAAAAAGGTGTTGGTACATCAGGAGCAAGGCTGAGGGGACTGGCAAACTGAGGAAGCGTTGGAGCAGAGAAAGTGCAGGGCAGTGCTGAAGAGAGAACCGGAAACTAATAGGATCCCCCACCTCAGACTCCATCCCTGCCAGCAGTTGTCTAAGCCACAGAGAGAGAAGCAGTCAGGTACACTAACCACAAAGCAATTATTAGTAAGTATCTCCACCATGCCCTGGTATGGGACCTTAGCCTAATGACTTAACCCCATGTGCCTCAGTTTCTCCATCTGCAAGATGAAACGGGGTGGCCGTATATTTACCTCACAGGGAATGGCAAAGACAAGTTCTCACAAGTGACCTACTTTTCACACAAGCCTGGCACCTAGGGAGCACGAGCTCAGTATGGAGCTTTTGTTGTTAGTAGCCATTACAGAGGTCAGAGACCAGTGATTGATGGGGAAACCCAAACCCTAAGAGAGGAGGATGCTGAGGCCAGCTCCCAGGCTGTGAGTGATGCGCGAGGAAGAGGGGGATGGGGAATGATGGAGGAGTAGAAGTCCAGCCTGCTGCTAGTGGCTGCAGTAGACTTATCAAGAACAGCCTGTGTTTGAAAGGTTTGAAAGGCCTTCTTCGACATTGTTCTTAAGTGACATTGAGTCAGTTTCTACCCATAGCGACCCTGTATAGGATTTCCAAGGAACGGCTGGTGAGCTTGAACCTCCTACCTTGCAGTTCAAACCAACTTTGCAGTCCAGCGCATTAACCCAGAGCATCACACCGGGACACCTATCACATTGTTGAATCCCAGCCGTTTAATTTTACCTCATCCCTGGGAGAGGGAAATGTGATTGAGACACACCCATCTGAGGCAACTATGGGAAGTTCAGGAGCAGAGATCATGAGAACCTTCCAAGGCATGTGAGAAAGACCAGAGATCCCAAACCCCGGCCCCTAAGCCCCTTGAGACTGACTCGGCTCAACCTGTGGTAAACTGATGACATAGGACCCGCCACCCAGGAAGTTGACTGGGCTTAGAAATAGGAAGTCATATTCATATGCTGAGATCAGTCATTGAAGAGGATGCCCCACCAGCCACCTCACTAAATCCTGGTCAGAATTCTTGACAAAGGTAGAGCCTCATGAGATGGTCACTTTACACAAGTTATTTCACCTTCTTCACTCAACGGTCCAGAGGATTTTGTCTTTAAAAAAGAGAAATGTGAGGTCTCACAGCTTCTAAGACCTAATCTGAGAGTTAAAGCTGAGTCTGCTATCAAAACATGTGCTCTCCTACCCCTCAGTCCCCATCACAGATAGTGGCCCAAAGTGGACATTACCCTGAGCCACTGTCCATAGGAAAGAAGAAATAAAAACAGGAGGGAAGGTTAGTACCATGGTTCATAAACACGCTCACATTCTGAGAAATCAGTAGTTGGTGGCTTCAGGACTTCACTAGACACACGCCCTTTGTGTGTCAGGCTGGGAGGTCTCTTCCAAGTTTTCAGTCAAATCAAGCCTGTGGCCTGGAAAGAAGGCAGCTTCTGCTGCTTAGAAACACACAGGCAGTAGGGTCACAGTACCTAAACCCACATCGTGCCGCCTCACACTTGTTTTATTTATGCATTTATTTAGAACAGTGTATTGTGATTTGGGTGAGAGTTTGCAGAGCACATTAATTCCATACTCCACGGTTTATACACATTTTGTTTCAGGACATTAGCTACAGTTCTCTCAATGTAACAGCACTCTTCCCACTTCCTTTGCGGCTTACCCGTGTCTATCTGACCTCCTTCCCTGCCTCTTCCGACCTTCTGCACTTTGTTTTGGGGAAGATGCTACCCTGTTGATCTCAGATGGTTGAAGAGTAAATGGGTATTATTGTTCACTTTATAAGTCTGTCTATTGTTTGCCTGAGGAGTCCTGATGTGGTGCTGTGGGTTAATGTGCTGAAAAGTCAGTTTGATCTGTTCAAGCTCACCAGCCACTCCTTGGAAACCCAGTACAGGGTCACTGTGGGTCGGAACCGACTCGACGGCACTTAACAACACCACCACCAGATGTTCAGCTGAAAGGTGATCCTTGAGGGTGCACCCACTTCCAGATCTGAAAATTATCTAAGTGCCAAAATGGTTACCAGACCAGTAAGTCTGGTCTTTCTTATGATTTTGCATTTTGTTTTGTAGTCTACTCTGGCTAGGATCTTGTATTGTGATTCCAATCAGAATCATCAGTAGTGGTAGACAGACTCCACCTTCTGGCCTCAAGCTAGTGGAGGCTGAGAAGCTGGTGTGATCCGTCAGTTCTTTGGACTGTTTTCTTTAATCTTTGATTTTCTTCACTCTTCTTTGCTCCAGGAGGAGAGAGACCAATTGTTGTATCTTAGATAACCATGCACACACAACTTTTAAGACCCTAGTTCCTACTTAGCAAAGTAGGATATAGAACATCGTCTTTATCACATTTGTTTAAACAACAGTATTTCAAGAATATTTGAAGGCACAATGTTCATCCTACATCTCCTGCCTAGAGGTCTCAGTTGCTAATGCAAACAATAAAAATCTACTGAGTTCTATGCAAATCTGAAAAATGAAGTGGGTAATTAAGGGACACTTGAGAATATGTATTTTTATAATACAGCGGTGATATTTTCCAGGTGCCTTGGTGGTACCGAAAGGTGGGCAGTTCAAACTCACCACGTACTCCTTGAAAGAAAAGACTAGGAAATCTGCTCCCATAGAAGTTACAGCTTTAAAAATCATCTGAGGAAGCTCTCCTCTGCCCTTCTGGGTAGCTATGAGTTAGAATGGACTTAATGGCTGTATGTTTTGTTTTTTAATTTTCCAAGTGAAAATGGTAGCATTATGGCTCTGTAGGATAAGTACTGGACTAGTAACCACAAAGTTGTCAGTTCAAATCCACCAGCCACTCCTTGGAAACCCTACACAGGGTGGCTATGAATCAGAACTGAATCAGCAGCACTTAACACCAGCACCAGTGAAAGAAACGAGAGTGTCCAGGTGAGAACAGTGGAGTGGAAGGTATGGAAGCATGGCTGCTCAGAAACTCTGGGTCCATGGTGGTGATATGTCAGCTCACATTGGATGTGAAGGTTTGCCCTCATTGAACTGAATTCATTTTCAGTGAGTACCAACTGACATCTGGAACTGCACTGACCCATTTTAAACAAGAGAAGTTGTCATGTAGTAAACTCTTATTGTTAAGTACTGTCCAGTCAGTTCCAACTCACAGCAACACCGTAGAGGGCTTCCAAGAAGCGGCTTGGGTTTGAGCCGCCAACCTTGTGGTTAGAAGTCCAGTGTTTATCCTACAGCACCACACTAGGACTCCAAATGTGGTAAGATGATATCTAAGTGGCACTTGAGCACCTCTTCCAGGAACCACTTGTCAGAAGCAGGGGTTGACTGCTGTCTTAGTTGTCCAGTGCTACTATGACAGAGATACCACAAGTGGATGACTTAAACAAACAGAAATGGACTGTCTCAGAGTTTAGGAAGTTACAAGTCCAAATTCAGCTCTAGGAGAAGGTTTTCTGTCTCTGTCAGCTCCAGGGGGAGAACCTTGCCTCCTTTCAACATCTGTGGGCTCTGTATTACTTGGAGATCTCTGTGTGTCTTTGCATCAATTTTCCTCTGAGTCTAGGAGGTTCTCAGCACAGGGAGCACAGGTTCAAAGGATGGGTTCCCCTCCAGCTCTTCTTTCTTGGTGCTTGTTTAGCCTTGTCACAACCTAATGCTGTAGAATGCACACTGCCACGTTATCATAACTGCCTCTGATCCTGCGTCACTCCTACCCTAGAGGTGAGGGTTTCCTAGAGGAGAATTATATCAGATCACAAAACGGAGTGTAATTACAGAATACTGAGAATCATGGCCCAGCCTACTTCGCTCATCTTTTGGGGACACACAATTCATAATGCCTAACCTCATTAAATCCCCGATAACAGCGCTCCATGGCTGGATCGTAACTAGACTTGATCCCCAGTGACACAGTAATCCTCTCCCCCAGGAAATGACCCAAGCCGTGCCCTGCTGAGGACCTTAGACATGCTTTCCTCCATGACTGTGCTGGCTGTCCTCTGGAAGCCCAAAGTAGTTCTAACTCTAGGAGTAGGCACTCACATGCAGTCTCTGTGTCTGTCTCTGTCTGTTTTTCTGTCTGCCTCTCTGCAGTTTTTAGGTGTGGCACTGTAGAGATAAGCACTAGACTGCTAACCACAAGGTTGGGGATTCAAACTCAACCAGCCACTCCTTGGACATCTTATCCAGGGTCCCAGTGAATCAGAACTGACTCTGTGGCACTTAACAACAACAGTTAGGTCCAACTGAGTGCATTGTATCCTCTTGCAAAGCTGGGTGTTGACTTTTCCTCCTTTCTCCTGGATTCCTTCCCAAAACAGTGAAGTGGGTATGTGGGTATGGGTTGCTACCTCAGGCCTTGCCTGCTACCTCAGGCCTTGCCTGCTACCTCAGGCCTTGCCTCATTGTGTGTCTCCCCTTTTCTTTCTCAGATCAACAACAAAGCCTGTGGCAAAATCCTTGTGCCCCAGCAAGTCGCTCAGGACCAAGACAAAGTCCGGGACCTTGTTCTCCAGAGTGAGCTAGGGGCCAGGCTGTTGCAGGGGCGCAGCATTAAGAAAGCCTTCCTCTCCCCCAGAACCGCCCTCATTAACTTCCTGGTGCAGGAGTGACTGCAAGGCCTTCGGGGAGCCTCCTCCCTGGCCTGGGATGAAGAGAAGGAAACCTACGGGCTCAGGGAAAAGACAAGTGTTTTAAATACTGGACAGACCGGAGTCAGCAGCGTTGTTGTGGTGAGGCCTGGTGCAGGGATGGGGGTGGGGTTTTGCAGCTGGCCCCTGGCCCCCAACACTGCAGAGTGTAAGAAGCCATCTAACCCTTCGTGAAACCGTCAAAGATGCTGTTTGCCTTTCAAACAGCCTGGATTCCGGAAACTGGCACTCCCCAGGAACGTGACAGCAAGCTGAGGAACCAGATGTGGCTGAGGAACTGCGTGGGCAGCCACTGGGGACCCTGGAACTGAGCTCAGCACCCTGGTGTACATATGAGTATGTGGAAATGGACACTGCGCTCTTCTGAAGTGTTTCTGACCCAAAAGACTGCAGTACTAGTTCCCCTGACCCCAGGCCTCTTCCTCCCTTCTGCGGGATCACGCACCCTGGTGCTTGTGCACTGGAGCAGCACTTCATAGCCACTCTCAGGGGGTCACATTAGCTGGGCAGTGAAGCAAAAGCAGGCTCCAGGCTGCTGATTCCCAACCTCAGTGCCCCACCACAAGCCCCCAAGGCAGTCTGCTCACATGGGCCCCAGATGGTGAGCGGCCTAAGAGGTAGCTGTGAAGAGCAAGCTTGCAGCCAGACATGGTGCGGATGCCGCCCACACTGCACTTTCTTGGCTCAGAAACGCAGAGGCCTGTCTGCTTGGGAAAGATGGTCAGGAATGGACCCAGGCCAGTGGCTTGTAGGACAACCCTGGTTTTTTGTCAAGTCAGCAATTAAGTGCTCTTACCAGAACTGACCAAAGGCAGTGATCAATAGTTAATGAAGAATGCTGAAAGAAATATCTGTATTCTCTGATTTCATTTTTTCAGAGTAACCTCAGATGTGGTCCCTCGTAGCTCAGTAGTGACAGATGACTTTTTTAATGTAATAAAATGTTGAATCTGAGACTTTGAGACATATGTGTGACCTTGGAATTTCTACCATATTCCCATGCTAGGAGTTCATCAGAAACAGATTAAGTTAAGCACTGGACTACTAACCGCAAGGTTGTGGTTCAAACCCACAAGCCACTCCTCAGAAACCCTATGCAGGGTCACTCCAGCTGTATGGTACTTAAAAACAACAATCGTCAGAAGCATAATTTATCTTCCTAACTCTTCATGGAGAGTTGCAAAGTGAGATTTGAGTGGTCCTTCTCACTCTGAAAGTAATAGTTAGATGGCAGATAGCACTAATTCAAGCACATTAACAATAGCAGTTAAGTCACTAATTCTCAACTTGGTTCAGACTTCCACCTGAGAAATAATACCTGATCCCCATACTCAGAAATTCCAATTTAATTGATATGAATGTGACCTGGGTATCAAGAGTCTTACAGGTCTCCCCAGGTGATCCTACTGAGCAGCTATGTTTGAGAATCACTGAATTAATTGGTGCATTTGGACTTCAATTTCTAGCTAGTACTTCCTTTCTCTCATCTTCAGCTTAACTGGGTGGAGTTTGTTCCAGAACCAAGACAGATGAAGTGGAGTTGAGAAAGACTAGGACCAAAAGAGAAGGCAGAAGCAAGAACTGTACAACAGAGCTATAAGACATTCCCAGAGCCAACTGGAAGATACTCAGTCCCATTGCCTCAATTTCAAATATAAGCAAATGGATGAGGAGTCTTGGAACAAGTAAGGTGGAGTCAGTTTTTTTATTTTGCTGTCTTTTCTTTTTCCTAAGGTAAACTAAGTAATTTAGAACCAAGCGACAAGGTGAGTGTAGAAAGCCTTTTATCCGCACATTATCTGGTCAGAGCAATGGTCCAGCAAATCTCCAAGCCACTGGGCCGACTGACCACTTGGCAGATGCCCGCATGACTTTGGAGAACCTTTTCTCAACGAAAAATAAAACGTTTGAAAATAAGATCTCATTGGTCCTTACAAAGAGATGATTAATATTATGGAACAATTGAACAGAGAATTCTGATTCCCTAGGAACATGGGAGAGGGGTGAGTTTAGTTCTTGATTAGTTCAAACACTAGACTCAGCAGAATTACTTATATTATCTCGTTTAATTCCCACAAAATCTCTAAAGGGAAATATGAGGAAACCAAGACTCCCAAATTCAGACATTTGCTCAGTTTCACAGCTGATATATGGTAGAAGGGCCAAGTTTCAAATCCAAATAGTCTAATCTCCAAATGATCTTATGTTGCCCAGTGTGTCTACCTTTCCCCTCCTCTAAGTGCCTGTCTTACTTGAAATACAACAATCTGGAACATTGAGACATCAACTAAAATGAGCAGAACCTGGCAGTGGTGCCCTCAGGCAATGGCGTGGGGGCAACTCCATGTGATGGGGGAAATTGCTGCCAAGCCAGTGGAAGGCCCAGGGTTATTTCTGTCAGGGAGGGAAAATGAGTGAAGAGAACGTGGTAGCTGGGAAGCCCAACATGGCAAATGCTTGCACAGTGGAGCCAACTCTCATCTGCCAAAGAAAACAAAACCAATGTCTAGGACCCTAAGTAAATAGTACGTAAGCTGAGAGAGAACACAGGCATGCTTTACTGCAACCTTCAGAAAAATAGGTTGCGTCCCATTAAATGGAGAAGGAGGCAGCCAGCAAATATGGGGTTTTTTTTAAGAACAAACATGGAACAACAGGGAAAACTTCTCATGAACAAAACAAGATAGTTACGCAGTGTGGAAGCACTCTGGCTCTGTAGGGTAAATGTTGGGCTGCAAACCACAAGGTCTGTGGTTCAAGCCTACCAGCTGCTCTGTGAGAGAAAGAGGAGACTTTCTACTCCCATAAAAATTTATAACCTCAGAAATGCTATACAGAGTAGGAACTGACTCCACAGCACTTAACAACATAACATATACAGTTTGTTCCCAAGATAATTGAAAAACAATTGCAGCAGTCCATGGACAGAGAGCTGCCAGAAATTCAAGCTGGATTCAGAAGAGGATGTGAAACTAGGGGTATTATTGCAAGACATCAGATAGATCTTGACTGAAAATAGAGAACACCAGAAAGCTGTTTGTGCTTTATTGCCTGTGCCTTAGACTGTGTGGGTCATAACAAATTATGTTTAACATTGCAAAGAATGGCTATTCCAAAACACTTCATTGTGCTAATGAGGGGCTTGTACATAGAACTAGAGGCAGTTGTTTGAACAAAATTCCAGGATACTGAATGGTATAAAACCAGGAAAGGTGTATGCCAGGGTTACATTCTTTCACCATACTTATGCAGTCTGTATGCTGAGCAAATAATCCAAGAAACTGGATTATATGAAGAAGAATGTGGCATCACAATTGGCGGAAGACTCATTAACCTGAGATATGCAGAGGACACACTCAATGTAAGCATAACCTAGCCAAACTGCTCAAATCCAGAGTTAAAGGGAAATTCCTAAAAGTAGTTAGAGGAAAAAAGTCATTACCTTCAATGAAACACGAAGAAAGATGGCTGATTTTCCCCAGAAAAAAAAAGCAAATCTTAAATCAATGACATAATGTCTAATATATTGAGAGACAAAAATGTTAGTGTGTATCCAATACAAGTAAAGGAAAAAATTGTTTTCCCCATCAAAATCTGGGTGAGTTTATTGTTGGTAGAACTACACTATTAGAAATGCTAAAGAAAATTCCTTAAGCTACAAAAAAATTTAAAATATCAGGTCTGCTGGCAAGTCATTTCCAACTCATAGCAACCCTACAGGGCAAGTAGAACTGCTCCGTGGGTTTTGTGAGTCCCTGGACTACAAGGTCAGTTTGAGCCAAAGATCGGCAGTTCAAACTCACCAGTCACTCATCGGAAACCCTATGCAGGGTCGCTAGGATTCAAAATTGACCTGATGGTACGTAACAACAACAACAGCTCTTTATGGATGGAGTCTTGGTGGCACAGTGGGTTACATGTGCTGTTAACCCCTGGGTCACAGATTTGAATGCACCAACTGCTCTGCGAGAGAAAGATGAGGCTTTCTGCTCCTGTAGAAATTTACTCGGAAACCCTAGACAGGGTCACTGTGAGTCACAACCAAATCAATGGCGCCACCACCAACAAACTCTATGAAAGCAGACTGCCACATCTTACTCTGGTGGAGTGATTAGTGGGTTCAACCACCAATTTTTGTATTAAGCCCAGTGTTTAACCTACGGGACCACCAGGGTTCCTCAGAGAACACCACAAGTGGTAAATATTTGGGTAAATACTTTTCTTTTGTACATGTCTTTAAATACTGTTGGCTGTCTAAAGCAAAAATAATAAATGCTTTATGTGGGATTTATAACCTATAACATGTACAAATAAATATTTTGCATCAATAACTCAATGGACTGTTGGTATGTGCTGTGGAGTTGGTTCTGACTCATAGTGACCCTGTACAGGGTTTCTGAGGCTATAAATCTTTACGGGAGCAGAAAACCTCTTCTTTCTCCCAAGAAACAGCTGGCAGTTTCGAACTGCTGACTTTGCGGATCGCAGCCCAATTCGTAACCACTACACTACAATGGTCAGTAGGGGATACTATTGTAAGAGCAGTTAAATTTTTACATTGTTTGTGAAATGCTATAATATTAATTCAAGGTAGAAAATGATTAATTAAGGTTGAACATTGAATAGTGTAGTGGTTATGAGTTGGGCTGCTAACTTCAAGGTCCGCATTTCAAAACCACCAGCTGTTCCGCAGGAGAAAGATGAGGATTTTTGCTCCCATCAAGATTAACAGCCTCGGAAACCCTATACAGGGTTGCTATGAGTCGGAACCGACTCTTGGCATTAAGTAACCATTGATGACCCTCCAAAATAATAAAAAATGTTTAAACCCACCACCAGTGAGTTGATTCTGACTCATAGAAACCCTGTGCTGGGGTTCCGAAGCCATAAATAAACTTCTGTGGGAGCAGAGAGCCTCCTCTTTCTCCCACAGAGCCGAAGCCATAGTGGGTTTGAAACGT